TCAGGGATTTCCTGGATGTCATAATTTGACTGACCGCACACATGGTCCCTTAGCTGAAAATAGTTCCATAGAATTGCGGCTAAGTATCACTGGGAACCGCAAAGTCTTCATGCCGAAAATAGTTCCAGGGCTTTCGCGGCTAAGTGCCCCTGAAGTCTATATGCAGTTTTGGTCCATACAAACGGCCGTCAGGGAGCTAGCATTTGGTTCTATGCATACGAATGGAAAGTGCAGAACCAAGGGGAACAAGGGGGAATAAAATATGGGTCTTTACAGTCCTTGACCTGGCCCATAGTCGGTTTGCAAGAGGCTGGCAAGCAGGTTCCTCCAGGAACTCGTGGCAAACTCACGAGGGCAGGGGAGTGTGTCACAGGCCCTTTAAAAACTGTGAACAGACTTGGTTGAGGAACCGAACAGGCACGCAAACCAGCAACCACCTGGGAGCTTGTTAAGCCTAATTGACAGTTTGTAACACTTTCCAGGTTTTCTCCCGGTAAGATAGCTCAGTTGTTAAATTTCATGATGTTACAGACTGCCATTTGTAACTGTTATTTTATTTGACAAATTGCCCTGCTTCCCTGTGTTATGGAGAAGCCTAATTGCCAGCCTTCTGCCCCATGACTATGGACCTAGTGGGTATGGCGATTTGACTGTATTTGTGGGATCTGAGCGCTGTTTGGATATATTGAGCGCTCAGATCCAAGCCATCTCGGGATAGGTTGAATGTGGGGGTTCTGTTCAGTATGATAGGAGTTAGGTATTTATGTGTCTTTTTGTGTCTTTTGCTAACATGTGATTAATGGAGTCTGCCTCTATCCCTGGATATAAGTGGATTATTTTCCCCATTGTCTCCTGGATAGAGGGCTCTGTAAAACCGGTTTGGGCCAGAAAACCATGCTGCCAGCCAGGCCCCAAAAGACACTTTTGCTAACTTTTGAACCCCTTGTCTGATTTGTGCCATTTTTTAATATGTTGCTCCCCTGAATGGATTGATTCTAAATATGTAATTTGTATGAAGATTGGATGTATGGTTTTAAAGTTACAGGGTATAGGTAAAAACTGTATTTTTACTGCCTGTGTTTAATTATGTTAACCCATTGTGTGCCATAATTAGATCACAGGCAGAGGGGAGGATTTTTGTGTGTAATTGCTGGGAGTGTTTCTGTATTGTACGTTTACATAGCCTTGTCTCGTTATTGGAGGGAACTGCTATATCACACTGGGGATTGCTATGCTCTGCATATTCCCCTGAGCTTTTAATCACTTAGCTCTATTAAGAGCTGTTCCTGTTGCGCTCTCATGGAGGAGAGGTCTTCCCCCACACGGTCCTGGAGGACAGAAGCTGATCCAGGGTGGAAGGAAGACGGCGAGACTCCAGTTAAGCTACGGCGGTTGTGGAGTCTGCGGTTGTTGTGGTGTCTGCTGCAGTGTTTGGAGTCCTCAGGAAGTGCTAGGAGCATCCATCAACGGAGGGTACTCGGTCGGAGTACAGGGAGCTCCGTTACACATGACTTTAAAGCCTGTTCAAAAATGCAAGATCACAGGTTAAAATCCCAGCAGGGCCAAATTAGCCCTTCATCCTTCCGAGGTCGATAAAATCAGTACCATTAATTGGGTAATAATAACATCTATTACTATTCAGCTGCTGATTTGGCTAATTTAATCGATAAAACAGTAAAAATCAAATAAAAAAAACATACAATAAAATAAAACACCTTTCTGGGTAATATAAAGGAGATCAGATGTGTTTCGACAGTTAAGTCTTTGTCAACAGGAACCTTTAGAGACATTGACAAAGACTTAACTGTCGAAACAGGTCTGTTTTATCACATCAAAGCATTTTCTTTGGTTTTTCCAGACCGAACGTCAGCCATATACCTTTAAATCTACTTTCTGACATGTCTAAACCTTAATCATTTAAATAAACCTTTGGAATATTTACCTGGTGCTGCTGACATCTTACTTACCTCCGTGATTAATTCATCTGCAGTGGTCCATGGGCACTTTCCATTAGCCTGTATAGGCACCATTGGGCTTATCATACAGAGCCTAGGACGGCTCTGGAGTTCGTCAATGCAACCATTTATCATTTCCAATTATTTTACAGTACACACTATGTGCTATATTCTTTTTTAAGGCATTGCTGATATCTACTTGCCATCAACATTGTACATCTAAGTATATTTTATTTTGTTCTACCTTTGGAGGGTGCACATTACTTTGCGTTTTTCCACACAGTGCTTTTTTTGCTATATAAATACTAGTTATTATTTTGTATTGTCAGTATATTTATCTCGGCAGACATTTTGTGCTAAAATAGTGTGACGAGAGCAATCTCGCCACATTGCATTGGAGAAGCCTGGTTGCTCGCCTGCTGTCTTTGGATTATGGCCCCATGTTAGAAGGCTTGATTTTCCCCTGCAAAGACATGAAAGCTGGGTCATTTGGTGCTTGCCCTGTTTGAGCAGTGATACCCCAGATAGCTATGCCATGGAGCCCATTCGTATAATGAAAGACTATGGGAAAGACTTTGGCTCCATGGCGATTAAACTGTATGTGTGTGCTCTGAGCGCCATTCAATAATAATGTGCGCTCAGATCTGAGCTATCTGGGGATATGTTGAATGTACCTGTTTTGTGCAATGGCTGCACAGTTATATGTTTTTATGTATTGTATTGTCTTTTGCTGCCATGTGTTCAATGGAGTTTTGCCTCTGTCCTAGGAGATAATTGGATTACTTCACAATTACCTCCAGGATAGAAGACTCTGTGGAACTGGTTTTGGACAGAAAAGCCATGCTTCCTTTGGTCACAAAGGACTACGATCTATCTTTTGAACCACTGGACCAATTTGTACGATTTTGACATATATTTGTATTTGGAGTATGCTGATTCTGAAAATGTAATGTGAATGTGATGCATACTTTTCAAGTTATGAATAATGAGGAAAAATTGTATTTCTCTGCTTGTTATAATTACATTACCCATTGTGTAAGGTAATTGTATCACAGGCAGAGGGGAGGATTTTGTGTGGGAGTGTCTGAGTGTATTGTATGTGTTTATTGGTTGTGTTCCAAAACCCTGTGGGTGGTACTAATGTGTAAGAATGTGTACATAAGCACAATTAACCCACAGCTCTGTCTGTTCACTGCTTGACCCTCAACACGGAGCCTTGTCTCGTTTTTGGGGGGGATTTACTGTATGCTGTTCCAGTTCGACTGCTAGGAGTGTAAACCTATTCGTATGGTTTTTTCCTATTCGGCTGTTTACGGCATTCATATGGTTTCCTGTTCGGCGGATTGGTGTTCTGCAGTAGCAGTGCCTGTGTCTCTGGAAGGGGAAGATCTACTAAATGGCGGTTTAATCCTTTTATGCTGAGGGTGCCGTAACAAATAGAAATTAAAAGTGTCTGCTGCCAGTCACACTTAAAACAAAGCTGACTTCATTTTGGTATCTTCAGGCTAAGACACATAATTTCTTGCTTTCTGTAACTCCAGCCACTCAAACCTGAGATAAGGAATGCGTTATGTAAACAAGGCAATGATTCTAACAGAGAAGGGGGATGGATACTCTTCTTAATGAAATAGAATAATCTTACACACAACTTCACAAAAGAAAGTCAGACAGTAGTAAGAGTTGTAGATAACACTTTGTAAGATTTAGAAAGTAAATTAATTACCAAGTCCCATTGTAAGCAAGGGGTGAAATTATGGTTTAGAAATGTCAGAAAGTAGATTTAAACGTATATGGCTGACGTTCGGTCTGGAATAAAACTGGAAAAACCAAAGAAAATGCTTTGATGTGACACATCTGGCGATTGATAGCAGTCATAAAATAGAGAAGTAATGATGTCAAAATCATCATTTTTAGTTAACTCTTTCCAGGACAAGAAATTATGGTGATATAATTGTGCCATCTACTGACCAAAAACTAGATAAGGTAGACACACCTCCAGCTTCCTATTGGCCCGATCAATTAATGACGTGCAGAAGGTTTGGCCATTTTAAAAAGTAAGAACAAAGGGAAGAGAGGGACATTCAGACACTCAGATTCAGGACACACATTGAGGAGACACCCTGGGACTGACACTCAAAGACTTATACTCTTTGAACACATTCAAACTCTCTTGAAACAATTTAAGAAACAATTTCCTGGGACTATCTGCTCATCTGATAACATTTACAACATAACTGGTAAGTATGCTGGTTTTATTTAATTAATTTAATTTAAATTTTACATAGCAGGAATATATGCCTAGATAAATCGGCCGATTTTGTAATTAGACATCTTAGTTAACTAAAGAATATATGGTTATAGAAATTCCATTCTGCAGGTGGAATCAAGATAACGATATATTAATGATATATTTGTCACTGTTAGCGTGTCACATTTATCCAGATGTATTGATTTGCTCTGAAATAAGATAGTGCATCTTATGTAGGGAAATTAAAATTTGGCAAAAGTAAAATCTGGTAGATTATTCTTATTGGATGGTTCCAGGAATGGTTAATGATCTGGTATGAACATTGCTTTGAAAGTTGCAACATAATAGGATATTACATGCCTAGGAGGATTCTAGCCAGCATTGGAAGGGTTACTGTTAGCCACGGTTTTATTGCTTCTCAGTGCGCTGTGAGTTCTGTGTGAGGTTTCGCTTTCTGTGTCTGTGAGATTGTTTACCTATCATAAATTTTGTTACATCTTGACAGTTGGTGCTGTAGCCGTTGTATTTGTTTAACCCCTTAAGGACACGACGTGTGACATGTCATGATTCCCTTTTATTCCAGAAGTTTGGCGCCTCTGGATTGTATAGGATAAGGAGGGATTATTTACATTTATTTTGCAGTCTGCTTGTCCCAATAAGGAGTGCATACCTACTGCCAGTATATGTGAAGGGAAAAGCATAAATTTTTACTTACCGTAAATTTATTTTTCCTGAAGATTAGAGGCAGTGCTTTACAACAGGGATTTCTAATCTGGAGGGAAAAAAAAGGCAGGCAATCCCCAAAATTTTCAAGAACCTCCCCCAATTAACCTTTGGCACTATAAAGTGCCTCTTACCCAAGACAGCCCCAGAAAATACAAAAGCCGAATAACTGCACAACTTATTCTATTAGAAAAGCAGGCGGGGAGGGGGAGTGAGCACTGCCTCTAATCGTCAAGAAAAATAAATTTACGGTAAGTAAAAATGTATGCGTTTCCCTTCAGATTAGAGGCAGTGCTTTACAACACGGATAACCAAAGCAATCCCCTAAGGGCGGGACTCATATCACAACTGTATGTAACACCTTTCGCCCAAAAGTTGCATCTTCCAAGGCCAGTATGCCTAACTGCAATGTTTAGCAAATGTGTGAAGAGATGACCAGTGGATGAAGAAGAAGGTATAACTGAAGCCATCAAGGCCCAAGATGTGGACATTGCTCTGATAGAAAGAGCTTCAATGGAGATAGGTGTAGGAATGGTAGATGAGAAATAAGCCAAACGAACACAGACATATAACCATCTGCCTAGAGCCTGTAGAAACCATAAAACCTATACTAGGACGATGAAACAAGACAAAAGTCTGTTGGATTTCCTAAATGGCTTTGTACTTTTCAGGTACTGCAGCAGAGAACTCGTACCGTCCAGGCAGTGGAATTTGACTTCTAAAGCCTTAGAAGGCTGTTGGCCAAAGTTGGTAAAATAATGATAGATGAAGAACAAACCTTGTCCTGATGAAAAAACTGAATTAAGAGCTTGAAGTTCTCACAAAATTTTTGGCCGAGGTAATTGTCCCCCAAAAACCTTGAGAGAAGACTCAAGATCAGCAGAGCTGAAAAAAAACAAGACCCTATGGAGGAAAAGTTTCCCTGATGGTAGGAACAAAAACGAGACAAAGCCTTGAAAATTCTGGTGATTTAAGAATAAGGAGTCAAACAGCTGAATGATGAATACTCCTTTTATGTATATAGCTGAATGACCACAGCATATACTGGAACAAAGAATTTCCAAACCAGTTGACCTTGTTCCCCCATGTTTGAACATATACGCTACTGTTATAGAATTGTCTGACTAGATCTGGACATGTTGATTCCTGGTCTGTTTCTGAAAGGCAAGAATAGACAGCCAGACAGCCTTTAGTTCTATGTAGTTGGATAAACGTCAATATTTCCCAGCCAAATTCCTTGTTTCTTCATTTCACACATATGAGAACCCCAGTCGAGACCTGAAGCATCAGTGGTAAAAATCTGAACGACATCATCTGGAAAGAAAAAGCCTGATTGCAGGAAACGGGACGAGGTCCAACAGAAAAAAATAACAACTCTTCAGAGCGTTAATGTTGAGTTACATAGGTATATTCAAGCTGTACGATTGTTTGTTCCAGAAGCTTAAAGGACTTCTTAAAGGACGCCTTTGCCCAACTGAACGCTGGGATACAGGCTGCTGAAAAAAACCAGACCAGAATCTTAGAGAACACTCTTGGGGCTGAGGAAAGACCAAAGGGAAGAGCTCTGAACTGATAATGCAGAGTCTGTCTCTGGAAGTTGATTGTAAAGCTTCGGAATCTTTTGCTGGGTTCTGTTTTAAAGCTAATTTCACCTTATGGCAAGAAATGACTGGTCTCCCATCCAGAAACAAGTCTGCTCCACTTTTGAAACTTGCCATTATTAAGCCAACTCGGACTATAGTAGTCTGAATTGCAGACTTTATTGTTTCCAATGAAGACTTGTTGATTGTCTTGAGATCTAGAAAGGATCTGTAAGAACAGTCTGGCATCCTTCACTTCAGCCTGGTTCAAATGGAATAACAGAATTTTTGGATTTACCCACATCAATCCTAATTCTTCCAGCAAATGTTTTTGTACCTTTGCCACTGAAGAACCTGTAATCAGTGCAATGCATAGAGATGCTGAAGAGACAAAAAAAAAGGTTCTTTAAAGAAGAATCAATACAAATTTCCATAGCATCTTGTCTACTGAATGATAATAGAAATGAAAAGCTTACCTCCTCAGAATTACCATTCCCTGAGAATAAAATCCTTTAAATTTGGATGCAAAGGGAAAACCTTGGATTTATTTTATTTGCTCCTGAACTGCTACTTATCAACCAACAGAAACTGCACTTCCTCTGGTAAAGGAAATTCTTCATCAAAAGAATCACTAGAATCCTTGTTTAGTCTGTTGACAATGCTCCATAACCTTGAGGGGCGGGCGGGCGTACAAGAAAAATTAGGTGCCCATTTAAATCAACCAATTTATAGGATGGGAACATTCTGCATAGTGAGAGAACCACAAGTAGGAATTTCCATACAAGCCATTTCTTAAAAAGAAACGGCAAAATGAACATAGGCAGTAACAATAAACATTTTATCCTGTGTCTGTGGCAGTGCAGGGTACAAAAGTGACTAAGGTGGATATGTCCCACAATCAAGAGGCCTGGAGAGCTGTACCAAACATCAAAGTCAAGCCCAGTAACATGAGAAATAAATAGTTTTCCATGGAGGCGAATTCATACAGGCTACCATCTTTAGTGGCCGAATGCGAGTCTGTTCACATCGATAACTCACTGTGGCATCATAGAGCTTCTTTGTGACAGCTTGCAAGGATTGTCGTAAAACTAGAGACCTGCAAGAATAGGAGGTCTTTAAAAAATAGAAAGTGCATCAGTACATCCCTGGAAACATCTACAGGCCCTCTCTCTGATTTCAGACAGAGGTAAACGCTGTCAAAATGAGTCAATTTAGCTTGCTATTGTGGCAGAATGGTCGCCAGTAGGAGTTGGATAAAATGTGGCAATTCATTATCATCCAGAGCTTGGCTATTCACCTGGACTTAATATTCTTAAGACTTTATTAATCATCTTGTGTCCAGGTGATAACACTCCTCTCTAGATTCTGAAACTGAAGCTGCAGAGCCTGCGTGAGACAATTCCCATGATCTAGGCTTTTTCTGAGCCGGTCTTGAGAAGCAGAGGCTTAAGCAGACTGCATTTCAAACGTTTGATGCAAACTTTGCTGGAACCAATTTAGAAAAGTAGCTTTTTTAAATTTAGCAATTCCATCAATCAGTTTAGCACATAATCCGGCCTAGATTATATTTGCGTGCCTGTGAAATGTGCATTACCCCTGGATTTCCTGATTAAGGTAAACTTTGTTGATATGGGTAATGACAGCTAAGCCCAGGTAAGAAGTCAAACTATTACTGATTTATTGCCTCTTCAGAAGCCTTTTTAGTAAAATTGGAACAGAACTATTGCTTAAATCCATGTGGTCTGTGTTGGAAACATGCAGCACAGATTAAATGAATTACAATTCAGGCTAGACTCATAAGATAAAAGCAAAATGTCTTGCCTTAAATGGCCTCAAAGTGTGTTGGTGGGCAGGTGAGAACACTCTTGCAACAGATTCTGAGTGCATCTGGCAAACAGTTGCTGCTAGGTAAAAAGCCTCTCTAAATCCTGGAAACCAAAATTTTGAAGAGGAAAAAAAATAATTTTGGCACCTGGATTTTGAAATTGGATTGCGCATGTGTAATGCACGCCACTATTCCATGGTGGAAACATTGCAACATGTACCTGGGTTCCAACGCCAGGACATCCCAGCTAGCGCACGCATACGCACCATCGTCTGCCTGGCCCTGTATAGACAGAAGCAAATACAAACAGGGGAGATGCAGCATCCAGTCTTCGAAAAAAACAAAACAGAAGCAGAGCCTCCCTGGGGAAAAAAATCTGACACCCTCCTCTGGCGAAGGCAGGCAAAGAACTGTCTTAGTGCCAAAGGTTAATTGGGGGGAGGTTCATGAAAATGTTGGGGATTGCCTGCCTGTTTTTTCCCCTCCAGCTTAGAAATCCCTGTTGTAAAGCACTGCCTCTAATCTGAAGGGAAAAACTATATTTGTAATTTTTTAGGGCTGTAAGAAGAAAGGGAGCTATAAATGCAGAAGGATTATGGATGGTAGAAGACGTGGTGTGCACAGAAAATAGATGGGTGGTGGGAGGTTTGCTTTTCTCTGGTAATGGAAATGTATGATTCTGTTTGATTTCATAAAACTGAAAATAGTTTGAATGTGTTTGGTTTATATTGAAATTTGCTGCGAGGGCTGTGGTGAGGTTCGAAAATATTGCAATGGGGAAGATTTTTTCTTCATTTTCGTAGTTTAAATTGTGTATAAAATTAATCTTTATTTCTCTTTTATAGAAAATGACCATGAGGATGTTAGTAGCGAGACTCCTTGAATGTCATCTGAAGGAAGTATCTTGTGACTGAATACTTCTAAAACCAAAAAGAATCTCATACTCATGAAATGCAGCATTAGAACCCCAGCCAACCCAGGCAGAATTCATCATTTCATCTCCCATCCAGTGCAAAATGCCTCCTCGGAAATCATTTAATCTTATTCCTAGAAAACCCAGTGCTAGAACTAAATTTAATTTCTTCCTCTCATAAAACAGTGCTAGCATTCCCCCCCCCCCCCCCCTTGCACAAGCGTACCCAGAAATCATCTAATCTCTTAATCTAATGAAACCAAGTGCTTTAACCCCCATTCTATTCAGAATTAAATTAATCTTTTATTTTAATGAAAAACCATTCCTAGAACCCTTACCAAGAATTCTCTGCACTCCACAATTTCCCAATTCTTGCATGTGGTCAAATGATAAACAGTGTCTACATTGGCTTTATTGCAGCCATAGAATAGTTACTTGGAAAACGAGGTGGAGAATACCACGATAATCGACAGGTTAGAGACTGGGTAAGACAGCTGACCCCTCCATTCCTTCACTGAAAAAGGCATTTCTGTAAACTATTCTAAGCCAACCAACAACCCAACCCTCAACAGCAGAACATCAAGAAAAAGCAAACAAAACTAAATCAGAGCGGCTTTCCCTGGTATTTTAGTCAGAAAAAACAAAAAAAAAATACAACTTCTGAAAAGGACATTGATTCATGGCTTCAGGACACGTAAATAACCATAAAATATTTAAATAACCACAGGAAGAAGGAAAAGAAAAAACTTCAGAAAACATTTCAATCCAATATTTGATGAAACAGGTCTATCAGGCTACACTAGTTATTTCGTGGACCTCCGTGGTGGTCTAACTAATACAGGCGACGGGTACCCTGCAGCATTATCAGGACATGAGAGCCGCTTTAGTGACAGAAACCTCTTCATGGATAAGCCAGGTGATGACACTACACCATTATTTTCCTCACTTAGTGAAGCCAACCAGGTGTCCTTTTCTACAGCCACCATAACACCGGAAGCCAAGTCTGTACTGCCGGCATTCACCCTCTGCCTATTAGCACTTTCATCAGGAAGTGGTAAGCTGCTTGCTAACCTTCTATAATTGATGGCACCCTTTGCCAGTCTGTTTTCACACCTTTTTCCGTTAGCGCCATCTTCTCTCCCAGAAATGTATGACTAATGGAAAACCAGAAAGCAGTTACTTTACCAGCCACCTCAGATAACAATAAATGTCACTGGCAGTGATTAGGGCGCGGGACAAAATATATATCGACATGCCCATTAGTAGTACCAAAATCAAATAGTGCAGATTGTGATCAAATTTAGGAGGTCTAAGCGCTATTTTACACTCTGGCGATATTTCATTGGCAAATGAAAGGAGAGTATAGGAATGGCCCAGGCTACATCACTTCTCATATATAAAAAAAAAAAATATCTATATATTAAAATCCATTCGGTCAGTACATTCATGAAGGCCCCACTTGTGGAATGATTACAAAATGATACAGACTAATAATGACCCATGTCCCCTCAAAGCGTACGTTCCAACCCTGCAAGAGAAAACCAAAAGCTGCTTCGAGGAGCCAGAGCTTGTCCATGTGTCCCCACAGACACGGCCAGAGCCAAACGCTAAGTCTGGAGTACTGGAGGTTAAAGTCTGATAAGTGCAGGGCCCTGCCTGCTAATCTCGCTTTGCTTTCTTATTGCTGTCGCTGCAGTTGGACTTTGCAGACATCTCCCCCTCATCCAGTTTCCTCTTGCTAGTTTCCAGGGCAGCGATTGATGATGGCCGAAATCGAACTATGATGCAGGTCATGTTATCACATCCTGTACCATCTCCTGATGTATCGGGGGCCAAACACTGGTCCAGAAGCTGGCAGTAGAAACAAGAAGGACAATAGATCATGAGAGATTTATAAATAATGCATGATAACTACCATTTACATAAGCTCTATAGAAATACAATATTTTATACCATATTTTAATGTAGTGAATTAATTTCTTGGATATTAAAATGAAAGACAAACCTTGTATATAAAAAAAGAGAAATCTCAATGTATCCTTGCTGGTATAAAATAAATAAATGACTGCTGCCCCTACAGATATAACTCCTACCTCATTAAAATTAACTTTCTGTCAGGAGACCATAGTACCCTTAGAGTCTAACACACTAAGCTGCTCCAACACAGAGTCTGAACTTGTCCCAGCATGCATTGCAATATCTGTTTGAGAGTCTCCATCACTGTAATTGTACAATGCATTACCTTGCACAGGTACTGTTCATGTAGAGAGGACACACCTTGAGGAGTACAGAGTTACCTCACCCTACACAAAACTAAAGATGTTTAGGCGTCAATGACACCAGCAGGGCTTACATTTCTACTAGCCATTTGGGAGTAAATCTTAAGCCATAGCAAGTAGAAAGTCCTTCCTATAGCTGGCAGTGACAAATAACATTTCAGGTCTGGCTAGTGGCATAGAACTTCACATTTTAAAACCCAACGGAAGTATATATAGATTTTCAGAATCCAGGTAGAACTTACCTCCTCCACTATACCAGACAATAAGACAGGTTTAGCGGACTTTTCCTGCAGAATAATTCTATCGTGAACAAAATCCACAACCTCCTGGCTGCTCATCACATTCCTGGAACAAAACAAATATGAGATAAGAGAACAGTGACAAGATTTCAGGCTACGCCGATTCCAGAATCGCATGTGGGACAAGCGTTTAATTTGGTGGCAAATTCAATTAAGTTTAAATCAGTCTTTTGACTAAAAAGCTGTCTTAGTTGTATTTTAATCATATAAATTGTTTTAGTTGGCATAATTAACACTGTGTGGGACAAGGGGTTAAAAGACTCCCGCAAGGATCGACTGGAAATAGTGACCATATAATCCATACCTTCAGGACTACATAATGGCCCAATAAGTGGGTCTAATAAAACTATTAGAAAGGAGTTAAAACTGAACGGGTTCTGGTCGGCGTATCTGATGCATTAAGGGCGTCAGACTCACCAAATGCCATCACAAGCGATCACCATGAAGTCGTGTTCCTCATTCAGAGTCAGGACTTTGATATCGGGCAGTGCAGAGATCATCTGCTCCTCAGGCGGGAGATTCTTGTTCCTCTTGTAGAAGTGATCACCTGCAGACAAGGCAGCACCATACATCACTACGGTCACTTCCTGAAAAGTCTTAAACTCTTCAAGCACCATAACCTCTGATACTCTACTGCTGATATCACTCCATTATGTAAGGGGAGCAAAAAGAAGCACTTATATTTTATCAGATGCCACGCCAAAGTCACTGCAGCCACTTCTGCATCCTTAACTGGTAGCATAGAGAAGCATTGCTTGGCTGAGGGAACCTAGAGGTAGATTGCAAATGTAGCTACTCACAAAAGGCAGTGTTTACAGAGTTAAGTGCACTGGAGATAGTGCTGAGAGACGGTCTCTAATGCTCAAAGCCCATCTATGCTGCTCGGAGACGGTCAGCATGGAGGATCTCCTGACAGGGCTCACATGTGGCAACCACTTTTCTTCAGTTTTAAAAATACAAGTTCCCCTCCTTATGCAGCCTCTCACCAAAGAGCTAATGACTACATGGAATGCAAGCATCTAAGCCCACCACACCCTAAACCATATATCTATTATACAGGTGTATAGAGCAATTTTTCAAGGGACAGATGACGTAAAACTGTAAATTAATCACATGTGCCATCTCACCGATTGCACGAGACAGATTCAGACCACCATTCACCCGTCCATCCATGGTCACTTTGCCCCCAGCATTCTTGATCCGAGCCAGTTCCAATTCATCTTCTGGTTTGTGATCATAGGACATATCCACGGCCTTTCCATTCTCTGATACAACACAGCGAGAGTCACCAGCATTGGCCACAATTAGCTGGGTTCCTCGAATGAGAGCTACCACGGCTGTGGTTCCACTGTCAGATCCAGGCTGAGGGGAGACCACATAATAGTATAATCAACTTTCAAAGTAGGTCACCAATGACCCCCCGTTTACCAATCCCCATTCATTATGACAAAACCAACATGGAGCACGCTAACAGGAAACAGGCCCCAGCTTCCGCAGAGAAAGACACCACTGTGCAGAGACAGGAAAGCGGGTCCTATGTATTTGGTCAGTAGAAATATAGAGGGCACAGATATTCCTTAGGCTACCCAGAAATCTACTTAAGACTTACCTCTTCCTTCCCTTCCATGCCAGGGAGCATCATCTCTTCCTCCTCCTCATCTTCTAGATCTTCACTGTCCTCGTCTTCATTTTCAGCTTCGTCACTGCTATAATCCTCTTCCTCCTCCTCATCACTGCATTCCTGGGGACACATCAGTGGACCCATACAATCGTCAGCTTACCAATTCAATTCCCCCCTTTAAAATGAGAATACAAAGCACTAACCTGCACAGTGCACTTCAATTGTTTCACCCAGCCTTCAATCATTTTTTGAATATAGGTCTATTGCAATAATGCAGAGAAATATTTGTAAGAAATCAGCACTGAGTGTCAACCACAGATTGACAAAATTGCTGAACAATGAGTGGAATGTGGGCAAAGCAGATGCCGAGATCTCTAGTTATAACACGAAGACCCTTATAGCGTGGATATAAAATGGCAGGATGCTATACACTCATTTTTTGCTCAGGTCAGTGCTGAGAATCTATAGAGTATCTATCCTCTGAGACACTCCATAGCCGTTTTGTAATGAGCACGATAATGCCTTATTCCCAAAGGTGCCACTAGCAGTAACTGGGGAAATTGACAGAACTCGAGGGTAGTAGCTCCAACTATCACCAAGTTTTGTCTATTGAAGCATTACAATAAGAGAAAGTAGCTCCTACTAAGTCTTATATAAATAAATCAAGATCTACACCCACCTCACTATCCTCTTCTTCCTCTGCTTCAGATTCGCTCTCTTCAAAGATCTGAGACTTGGCTGCACTCGGTCGCTTGCACTTGGAGGAGCAGGAAGGCCCGGCCTCCCCGGTGGAAGATGAAACAGCTTCATCTAAAGACTCAACCTTTGCACGAGAAGAGCTTCGCTGAGTACTATCGCGGCTCCCACCACAATCTGCAGAGTAGGAGGAGATCCCAGGAGAGGTTGCTGCCTCTGCTTCCTTCTTTCCATTTGTTTCCTGAGGATCCCCAGAAAGCTCTAACCCCAGATCGCCATTCATGACAGCCTCTTTTGGCTTATCTTCTGGGTCTTTATCAGCAGATGGTGGGCTTATCTTATTACGTGGGCCCTTGCCACAATTCTGCCCGTAGCGAGTTAGTAGTTCTTCAATGGTCATTGTGGCTTCTTCATGTAAAAGGGCAGCTTCCTCATTGTCCACTGTGAAAAGATACAAAGAGAATTACAAAATGGCTATATGCTCATATTAGTGAAAAAAAAAAAAAACTTAATCTACAACAAACGGTGGAGCTAAACAAATTCTTGCAGCATATCCAGTCATTGAGCCTCAAAATCTAAACTGGGCACTTACCATCATCCTCATCTGCAACTTTATCCTTCTCACCCTCATGGTCGTTTATGGGACGGCCTGCCATCTGAGACAGCTCTTTAATTACATCTTCTTGGATAAGTTTGTCATCTATGGCAAGAAAAGCATCCTCCAAGGCCTGTGGACAAAACACCCAATACGTCACGCTAAATCACAGTCAAGCTTTAAGAGCAATATGCCCGTCTGTCAGCTCATTCCTGCTTTTTTCCAGCCGTGATGCATGTGATTGCCCCCACAAAGGACTATTCCAACTGACACAAACACCATCTTGTTGCATGAGACTGGCAACGGTGAATCAAATTAAATCATCAGTATAACAGTGCAGCACATCTGAATTATGCTTTCAATTCACAATTCTAAATAAGTCTGTTTAAATCATACCATAAGCCCGCTGGTTCCACACACACGGATACACTGCCTGCCATCACAGAGTACGAAGGAAATCACTCAGATTTGACAAAACAAAGGAGGGCCTACCAAACGGTCTTCAATTAACCCAATCTGAGGCTATTTGGAGCTTTTCATAAAAGATAAAACATTTACGAACTGCTCAATGACTTTGGTGAAATTTCACTTTATTTTATGATAAAATCAGAACTAAAAGTAAATAAAAACAGTGAAAAAAGTGTGTGAGTGACCACCATTGAGCTTTGTCATTGTCCACATTCATTGTGGGAATACGGCCCTGTCTGGTTCATCACGTGATGTAATCTAGAAAACATCCTCCACAGACGTCACGGTTTCAGTTAGTGCTGTACTCTGGTGACGGCAGCATGCACTGAAAACACTATCAGGTAAGTACAACTCACCATGGTCACACCGCTGGATCACAAGCGGTGGTGAGGTCACCCTTTGTGGTTTTTGCAAAATATACAAAGACCCCAAAAAGTGACAAATGCTTTAAATGTCACATACTCTTCTGCAGAAACAAATGTTCAAATAGCCCCCTTTAAAAATTTGTGAAGTTAAGGGAGCAAATGACAGACCAGCCCAATGCATTTTTTAAACTTAGAATTTTGACAGATTGAGTCAATGGGCCCTTATTACATCTGTTATGGGACATTTTAACAGTTCAACAGAAAGGCAATGAGCCCAAAGCTGATCACAATGCAGTCTGGGCTGTGGTCCAGTGGAACATCTGATTGGAGGGAAAGGACATTGTCCTCCAAGAGAATCACATATTGAAATGACCATTTAGAATTTTTTTGTACAAATTTCTGATATCGTCCCTTAAATCACCAGCATGCTACTCCGACTAACATATGGAAATCCATGTGAAATGAATGAAAATTCTTACCTTTTGGAGTTTTCCTTCCTTGTAGGCTTTCTGCTCTTTGATGATTTCTGGGAGGTATTTGGCACAATACAAAGCCACCTCTTCCCCTGCAAAGGTTAGATTAGATATTCAATAACTGGGACGGGCACAACACCAAGAGTGGGTGGCATACCCTGCACTATGCCACATAAAGCCATTAAAATCTCGATACACTGTAGGGTCAGGAACACAAACATCTTTTCCTGACCCTATAGTGTTAATACCACCATCTAGATCCCCGGCCTCCCCCTTGGTTCACTAAATATAGAAAAATCTTACTTGTATTCAAGTATGCAGCTGCTTTTGGCAACATCAGAAGTGGTGGTCTGATCCAATCACAATGCTTCACCAAAGGATTGGCTGAGGCTATCAAGGGCAGAGTCAGCATAAGCCAAACACAGCCCTGGCCAATCAGCATCTCCTCAGAGATACATGGAATCAATAAATCTCTATAAGGAATGTTCAGGGTCTCCATGCAGAAGTTGGAGACACCGAATGCAAGTCACACTGTACAGCACTGCCCCAGGAAGCACCTCTAGTTGCCATCTGAGGAGTGGTCAGTGGAGGTATCCCAAGGCTATAATGTAAACACTACATTTACTCTGAAAAGACAGTTTTTCAGCAAGAAGGGAATGATTATACTCACCAGAACAAATACAATAAGCTGTAGTTCTGATCACCATAGTGTCCCTTTAACCCCTTAAGGACCAAACCTCTGGAATAAAAGGAAATCATGACATGTCACACATCATGTGTCCTTAAGGGGTTAATGAAACACTTCAAGTGATTGACACAGTAGCAAAGTTCACACGCTTTGAAAGGTAAGGCCAGTGCCGTGGACTGGACAGGAAAACGTTATAAAAATAATGAAGGCCATAAAGCCAGATAATAGAACATTATAATGAACTACTCTGACTGAGCTGCAGAGATATCATTGGCTCTAAGCCAGGTGGCAAGGCAGGAGATATACTAACCCCCTAACAAAAAGTACCAACTTTAAAGGACCACTCTAGGCACCCAGACCACTTCAGCTTAATGAGGTGGTCTGGATGCCAGGTCCATCTAGGGTTAACCCTTTTTTCTATAAACATGGCAGTTTCAGAGAAACTGCTATGTTTATGTTAACCAAAACTACTATGTTTATGTTAGGGTTAATCCAGCCTCTAGTGGCTGTCTCATTCACAGCCGCTAGAGGGCTTCCGCGTTTCTCACTGTGAAAAAAAAAAAAAAAAATCAGTGAGAAGACGCCAGCGTCCATAGGAAAACATTGTGAATGCTTTCCTATGGACTGGCTGAATGCGTGCGCGGCTCCTGCCTCTCTCCAGAGCCCGACGGGAGAGGGACCCTGAGGGTCGGGGGCACCCTCAGGGCTCTATAGTGCCCGGAAAACAAGTATGTTTTCCTGGCACTATAGTGGTCCTTTAAATAAAAACAGATATTTTAACTTACCGTAAATTCTTTTTTTCTTAATATTGTGGCAGTACGTATGGGTTGTGCTTCCTAATTGGGACAAGCATAAGCAAGATAGGTGCTTAAGATAAGTCCCTCCCCTTTACCCTATAAAGGGCTTCCCCCGGCAAACCCACCTCAGTCGTAGCAAGAATACACACCTAAGCCACACACTAGAAGCAAAATTGTAATTTAGAGGGAGGGAGATATGTACTGCCACCATATTGAGAAAAAGATTTTACGGTAAGTAAAAATGTCTGTTTTTTTCTGACATATGGTGGCAGTACGTATGTGATATAGCAAGATTCCCAATCGGGTGGACCTTATGCCTAAACTGCTTAAAGTACCTATGCCCTAACGCAATTTTAGAGGCAGAGAGTACATCTAGCCTGAAAATGACTGACTTTTTTTAAGGTGCTAGAAGACCAAGAAGCAGCCATCCTGATTTCTTCAGGTGAAGCAAGAGCTTTTCTCTGCCCACGAAGTGGCCGTTGCCTTTGTGGAATGCGCTGTGAATTAAAACTACTGAAGCATAGGCTATTATTATAGACGAAATAGCGAGACGTAGAATTACGAGAGGCTTCATTCCCCTTAAAACTTTTTTTAGAAGTAACAGGTGATCTGATCTTCTGAATTCGGCTTATATTGATAGGTACATCTGAAATGCCCTTTGAATATGCTATCTAGTATATTCAAGCAGGGAGGTGGCATAATTATAGAAGGTGGAGACGTTTAGCGGCTCTAAAAGATACAACTTTCACCCTGATGGAATATAAAAACAAAATTCCACTGAAGAGGATATATCCTGAAGCTCGCTTACACTCTTGGTAGAGGAATTGCCACTAAGAATGCTGGCTAAGCTTTAGCATATTGAAAGGAACCACCTCCAAAGTAAAAGGGGACCTGAAAGACTGTAGAAAGATCCCAGGAGGGAAACAGAACTTCCTGGGTGGCCTAAGAAGCCTATTGCTTTAAAGAAACTTCTGACTAATAAATACAAAGACCAATCCCTTCTCAGAAAGAATCTTAGGTAATACAATTTGGGCCCAACCTGTGGAAATCTCCTGCAGGAAGCGTAAGTTTGAACCACCCGGACAAATAAACTAAAGACAATGATGTTCCTAACAATGTAGAAACTCTACCCAAATCTTCATGTAAAAGTTAGAGGCAGAACGACTATAAGATTATATGCAACGAGTGGACTGACAGTTGCCCTACAGTCAATAAGAACCTACTCAACACTTCCAGCAGGATATCCTATCTTCCAAAAGTGTTTTCGAGATCGGAAAACTGGCTTGTGTTTGGTAAGTACGGAAAGATTGGCAGAACCACTGCTCTGTCCGTTCACCTCATGGAAGAAGTCTATAGGAGAAAAAATGTAAGCCCGGTGAAATTCCCTTACATAGATAGACCAACTATTCAACGTGAACTATCTGTCCTGTATAGAGAGGCAAACGCGAGAATCTTCATGTTCTCCCTCTTTGTCATGTCTAACCGGGCACTCCAAATCTCTCCGTAGACTGTGAACCTGATTGGATCTATAGAACATTACTCTTGATCCCCATTTCTTTTGCTGAGGTTGTAGGTGATGACATTGTCGACATACCATGAGTGGAATGGAGAGAGGACCTCCCAGAGATTGTGAGTCCAGTACACTGTTTTGGTACATAGCTGAAACAGACCCTGCCTCTGGCACCACCCTGTCTGTTGACATGAGGGAAACAGTGTCGATGTCTGACCGCATTGTAATAGGTCCCTTAAACAACCAAGATCTGAATCGGTGAGGGGAATGAAGAACTGCCTTAAGAGCTCTGAAATTAGTGGACTATTTTTCTTAGGACCAAGAACAATGGCAAATTAGAGAATTTAGACGAGTGACCCACCCTGTGTTAAATGCATCATGTGGTGAAAATTACTCCTTCTATGGGCTGAAAGGACAGACTTGTCAGAAAAAAAATAAATAAAAAATGACGTTGTCCACCAGTTTAGCCTATCTTCTGCTTTTTTTCGAAGAGTTTCTAGGAGACAGAAATCCAAGATTTCTACACTTTGACCCAGAGGAGATCATTTTCCACTGTAGCGGACAAACCCAGATTTTGCACAGTTGACCGCAGGAAGTGAAGATGTCAGACATCCCAGCAATCTCATTTCCTGTTCTTATGGAGGAATTTTCATGTTATTAGTAAAAGGACGTTTCCTTTACGAGTGCAGTAGATGCAGAGGTAACGTTTTAAGGTTAACACAAACAACCTGTCTCCTGGAGAAGAAGAAAATACATTATAGTCTCAGTATCCAACCGTGTTGTTCTAGCGCTCTGCTAGCTACCTGAACATACTTAAACAGTCCCGATTAGCAATAAGTAGCCAAACTCCCAAGTAGGGAATGCCCTGTTCCCTAAAATATGCTGTTATGGGAGTGTTTGAAGAGCTATGAAATCTCTTCAATCCACTTATTATGGCGTATTTTCAGAAAACTTCTTGAGGGGCCGCAATAGAGATATGAGGGAATTCTGAACCTCAGGAGAGGAACCAATTAATTTAAATCCATAACCGGTTTAAAGGAATGATCAGAGATTGATAACCAGGAGATTCCTGAGGAACCCAACGAACTTCGTGGTTCACAGAACCATATCTCAAATCCCTTAAATCCAACAGGAACACGGTTTCGGTAAATAGAGAAATCAGATGTTTGGAAGATTATGGATTGGGCAGATTTGAGTGAATGCAAGAAGGTGCTACTTAAAAAGACCACTATAGTGCCCTGAGGGTGCCCCCACCCTCATGGACCACCTCCCGCCCGGCTCTGGGAAGAGGAAGGGGTTAAAAACAACTTTTTTCCAGCGCCGGACGGGGAGCTCTCCTCCCTTTCAGCTGAATGCTCACGCGCGGCAAGAGCTGCGCGCGCAGCCAGTCTCATAGGAAAGCATTCATAATGCTTTCCTATGGACGCTTGCGTCTTCTCACTGATTTTCACAGTGAGAATCACGCAAGTGCCTCTAACGGCTGTCAATGAGACAGCCACTAGAGGATTTGGAGGCTGGATTAACCCATTTATAATAAAAAAAAAAAAGGGGTTAATCCTAAAGGGACCTGGCACCCAGACCACTTCATTAAGCTGAAGTGGTCTGGGTGCCTAGAGTGGTCCTTTAAAAGACAGGCAAGAGACATTCAGATATATACTGGTTCCCAAATGCAACCTGGGAATGTTAAGTGACTCCATTGAATGGTACTCCAGTCATCTACCTTAAAATGGATGAAGTACTGAGTTAACCCTACAGGGGAAATTAACCTGTGAACCCAAAGGGTTGAACAAGGTCTAAACCCACTGAGCTATCCACACTTCGTATAGAAATGCAGGATTACGCCTCCAAGTTTCTTGGCATCCAAAATGCCTACCCATGTCAGACCTTTCTCCACCCCCCAACATGGGGTATCTTTTTTATAACCTTTTTCCTAATGGGAGTAAACAGGGGATCGAAAAAGACGCGCTGAACTACCGTCCAAGCTTAAGCCACCAAGATATAAGGGAAACCGCAGATCAACCCATGATCTTGGCCGTCATTGGCAAATTTTATTATTCAAATCCATATAAAGAATGTGACAATCACAATAAAACCGGAAACAGACTCAATGAAGTGGTCTGGGTGCCAGTTCCTCCAGGTTATAACCCTTTTAGAGAAACTGCGATGTTTACATAGCAGGGTTAATCCAGCCTCTAGTGGCTGGATTCCTAAAAGTAAGTAGCTGAAGGGGGTTCTAACCCCTTCAGCGCCAAGGGAGGGGGGGACCTAAGGGTTGTATAGGGTCAGGAAAACAGGTTTGTTTTCCTGACACTATAGTGATCCTTTAAATAACTTCCATTAACGATTATAAACAAAGTTATACATTTTGGACACTGCTGCACCTGCCAGCCAATACCCATACCAAAACCCAGCAGTCTGGAAAGATCACCTACAAGAGGTCTCAGCCTTTTTGACAACAGAGTTATTAAAGCAGCTACTTCTGCAGAGTTTTGTAGATTCCCAGTGTACCTAGGGGTGTAACATTTACCAATTTGATGGTATACATTAAGGCTCATTACACAGAGTGTTCCCATTTCTGCATATGAGAAAGATATTGGGTTTGAGGAACAGATAACCCTCATTAAAGTTCAGCAGATTTCCTTCTCAGTACATCAGGTGGAAACCAACTCCACACAGTATGATGACCGGACATGTCTTAAGAAGGGGTAGATAAACATTCGCCAGACAGAAGTAATCGGGCGCTTCTCTTTGGTCTCTGTGGAACATCTCAGGCAGAGCAGCCGATACACTGATTCTCTACAAGAATTCAAAGATAGGAATGAAAGAAATTGCAGCACCGTGGTCATATTTATAAACCCCAGGGTAAAGGGGAGGGACTTTTCTTAATTACCTCTCTTGCAGATGGATGTACCAATTAGGAAGCACAATCCATACGTACTGCCTCCATATCTCAGAAAAAAAATAGATATATTTTCAAAATGATCTCTCTTATTTTTTTACATTATTGTACCTCTCTTATATGAAAAAGTGAATTAAAAACTTACTTGTATTTGAGGAATTGGACAGTCCCTGCTCCCTCGAGGAAAACATCAATGATTATGATCTCTGGCCCAAACCAGTCCTTCTGATGCAGAAGGATGTACGGCAATCATATGTTTCTCATTAAAGGACAACTATAGTGCCAGGAAAATATACTCGTTTTCCTGGAACTATAATGCCCTGAGGGTGCCCCCACCCTCAGGGTCCCCCTCCCGCTGGGCTCTAGGGTGAGGAAGGGATTAAACTTACCTCTTTCTCCAGCTCTCCTCCTCCTCTTCGGCTGAATGCGCAGCAGGAGCCGCGCGCGCAGCCAGCCCATAGGAAAGCATTCACAATGCATTCCTATGGACGCTGGCGTCTTCTCACTGTGAAAAATCACAGTGAGAAGAGCGGAAGCTCACTAGAGGCTGGATTAACCCATTTATAAACATAGCAGTTTCTCTGACACTGCTATGTTTATAGAAAAAAGGGTTAAACCTAGCTGGACCAGGCACCCAGACCACTTCATTAAGCTGAAGTGGTCTGGGTGCCTGTAGTGGTCCTTTAATAAAAAAATATTACAGAATTCTGCACCATCACGCTGACTGTGACAATACAGAATGTGAAGATTATCAGCAGTCGGCAGGCTAACAGCAAACACTCCCAGGGTATCACTAACAATCCTTACCTCCATGGCCGTCATACACAGAGAACATGGCCGTCTCACAGTCCAGCTTCGGGATACAGTTATGAGCATCCTGTAAAGAAAGAACAGTAGAATTAGGAGGAAGAGAAAAGAAGCTGAGCCATGGAGGTTTTAGAACCATTTTAATCCCCTAAAATTATTTTTTTAATAGAGCAATGTGCTGTAAAACAAATAACTGTCCACGTGTGATACGGGGAGGGAGAGTTACTGCCTGCAAATGCAGCGGATATGTTTTATCTGTGGGAAGGCGAGCAGAGGGAGGGTGGCTGGCTGGGGGCAGTGGGAGTAGCGGTGGCAGTGTTAGTGGATGGCTGGGAGCAGTGTTAGTGGATGGCTGGGAGCAGTGTTAGTGGCTGGCTGGGAGCAGTGTTAGTGGCTGGCTGGGAGCAGTGTTAGTGGCTGGCTGGGAGCAGAAGGGGTAGCGGTAGTGGCTGGGAGCAGTAGGGGTAGCGGCTGGGAGCAGTAGGGGTAGCGGTAGTGGCTGGGAGCAGTGGGAGTAGCGGTAGTGGCTGGCTGGGAGCAGTGGGAGTAGCGGCAGTGGCTGGCTGGGAGCAGTGGGAGTAGCGGCAGTGGCACAGCTGGGAGCAGTGGAGCTGGCGGTAGTGGCTGGCTGAGCAGTGGGAGTAGCAGTGGCTGGCTGGGTGAGGTGGAGTAGCGGTAGTGGCTGGCTGGGAGCGGTGGGAGTAGCGGTAGTGGCTGGCTGGGAGCGGTGGGAGTAGCGGTAGTGGCTGGCTGGGAGCAGTGGGAGTAGCGGTAGTGGCTGGCTGGGAGCAGTGGGAGTAGCGGTAGTGGCTGGCTGGGAGCAGTGGGGGTAGCGGTAGTGGCTGGCTGGGAGCAGTGGGAGTAGCGGTAGTGGCTGGCTGGGAGCAGTGGGAGTAGCGGTAGTGGCTGGCTGGGAGCAGTGGGAGTAGCGGTAGTGGCTGGCTGGGAGCAGTAGGAGTAGCGGTAGTGGCTGGCTGGGAGCGGTAGGAGTAGCGGTAGTGGCTGGCTGGGAGCAGTGGGGGTGGCGGCAGTGTGTGGCTGGCTGCAGGGAGCAGTGGGGGGGTGGTGAAACAGTGGCTGTGAACCAGTGGGAGTAAGCGGCAGTGGCTGGCTGGGAGCAGTGGGAGTAGCGGTAGTGGCTGAGCAGTGGGAGATGGCAGTGGTATTTAACTGGGAGCAATTAGAGATGGCAGTGGTGGCTGGCTGGGAGCAGTGGGAGTACTTGGTAGTGGCTGGCTGAACAGTGGGAGTAAGCGGTAGTGACAGCTACTGGCTGGGAACGATGGGAGTACTTGGCAGTGCTTCTTCTAGAGGTGATGGGAGTAGCGTGGCTTCTTCTGGGAACGGGAATTAGCGGTGAGTGGCTGGCTGGGAGCAGTGGGAGTGCTGATAGTGGCTGGCTGGGAGCAAGCGGGAAGTAGCTGGCTGGGAGGCAGTGGGGTAGGTGGCTGGCTGGGAGCAGTGGGAGTAGCGGTAGTGGCTGGCTGGGAGCAGTGGGAGTAGCGGTAGTGGCTGGCTGGGAGCAGTGGGAGTAGCGGTAGTGGCTGGCTGGGAGCAGTAGGAGTAGCGGTAGTGGCTGGCTGGGAGCGGTGGGAGTAGCGGTAGTGGCTGGCTGGGAGCGGTGGGGGTAGCGGTAGTGGCTGGCTGGGAGCAGTGGGGGTAGCGGTAGTGGCTGGCTGGGAGCAGTAGGAGTAGCGGTAGTGGCTGGCTGGGAGCGGTGGGAGTAGCGGTAGTGGCTGGCTGGGAG